ACCTTACGCTAGGGTCCCCCACACATGCACAATGCAGCAGGGAGGGTGTACTACTTAGGGTAATAGCCATATACACTGAAATATAAATAAACTGAACAGTGCACAAATGGTGACACCTTTCTGGTACTGCAGGTGACAGAAATGCCACAGCATGCTCATCCAGCGGTAAATGAGCCAGGAAATAATGTCTATGACCCTCGTATGATCGGCCCTGCTGAGCTTTTGGGTGTTAAGATCAATCGCACATTCAGGGATTCAAGTATCTTTATTTGTCACCTGCAAAGTATACAGTCAGACTACAGCCTGCAGTGAGATGAAAGTTAAATGTAAAGTAAATAAATGAAAGAATAAAAAAAATATATATATATAATAAATATGTAAATAAGGAACAGAAAGATAGATTAAATGAAAAAGCAGAGATGTGCTGCACGGCTAAGATAAAGAGCCTGTTGTGTATGTAAGGAGCGAGTGTTAGATTGTAACTGTCTAGGGGGTATTTAGCAATCTATCGGGCTGTGGGTTGAGGCTCCTTCTGAGTTCATTCATTGGGAAACATGCGGAGGACGACCTAGAGCAGGATTCGGCAATTCGTGTTCAACCACGGGCCAGTGTTTTACAACGGCGCTCACTGAGGGGCCAGCTTAGTTTTTCAGGCGCATGACACTGGAGCTAAGTTTTGTGTGAATATTATTTATTTTTACAATGACATTTTTTTACATCAGTAATATTAATAAGTAGTTGCTCGTGCGACCTGAATAGGACATGCGGTTTCAGAACATGGGTGGGTGGATGGAATATATAGCTACACCTGATCGCTTTAGTGAGATACCATCTTGTGTTTTTAAACGCAAACTGAAAAGTGAAACCTCCATCAGGGTGTCAAATATTTTTCTCGGCGGGTTGGATCTGGCCGGTGAGCTGCTATTTGCTGACCTACAGTACCGGTCAAGACTTAGGATACGTCAAGCTGCCTGAATAGGAGGGTGATAGTGTTGCATCACATGACCTGGCCATCTGACCTAAACACAGTAGAGATGTTTAACAGAGGAGTCTGACCAGAGAATGAAGGACAATCCGCCAATGAATGCTCAGCATATATATGTGTGTATATGTGTCCCAGGAGGCCACCTCATGAAACTGGCGTAGAGGAGAAAGTATGGTCAGCCAGTCCTCGGAGAACATGGGGTTAAGGGCCTTGCGATCCAGGGATTTGAACCAGCAACCTTCCGAGTCCACAGAGCAGCCTCCTCCCTCAACAAATTAATTTTTATTTTATTTTTTTCTTGTCAGTTCCTGATTCAATATATGTTATAGTGTTGATATCTTTATAATTGTTTTAAAATGTAGAGAATGGTACAAATAAATCTTTCTCTGGGTAGTTGTGTCCAAACTTATGGCTGGCACAGTACGCTCTCTATTCCTCACCTCATCGTCATACCTCTCCTGTGCATTGAGGCCCCTTAAACGGCAGACAGACCCATTTGGAGATCCGTAAAGGGACTCGAGTTCAACCTGCCCCTTACAGTTTTGCTGAGAAGCAATGATAGGCTTCAGGATCAGAGAGTCGCTCTCACCTCACATCCCTGCCTTATCCCCATACTGCACCAGGATGAGAGCTTCAAAGGCCCCTGAGCCAGGCTTACCTTGTTCGGGGCCCCCGTGGGACACTGCCTACACTCCCACACACCCTGCCCCCCCCCTGTCAGAGCCACAGGAACAGTAACCATCAGAGAAGCACGTCCTCCAAAGGAAGGTCCACGCAATGTCCCCGTGACAAGGACATGGAACCGAGATGAGTCACGTGTTGCTGCAACAATCCGGCTGTCCGACACGCCCTGGGAGCGGGATCGTCACTGCTGGAACTTTTAATAGCGCCGTAGAACGAAAAAGAAAAACAGAGGTGAATTCCAGATCCTCTGTTGAGGCCGCGTTTGCATATTTTGGACGAGCACCAAAGCGTCAAACCCCACAGTATGAGCAAAGCCCTATTTTTACGGCATTAAAGTTAAACTTCTCCCGTGAACGTAAAGAATGCACCAGCGGCATGCAAATATATGCATTACGCATGCGCTTGCAGAGCAGCCGTGCGGCCAGTGGCTTTCTGGGAACAGTGACATACACACCGGTTTGAGCCAAATTGAAACACAACGCAGGGAGGCAGTTTCGGGATGGAGCTGGAAGAGGAAGCAACTCTGACACAGAGAGGCGTCGGTGATGGCTTTGGAGCGAGACGCTGAGAAAGCCGGGTTTGGGCTCCCGCTTGAGGAACTGTTCCAGTGTCCATGGACCTCAGCGGTTCCACCGCAAGCCTGTCCCACACTGATGGGCGGTTACATAACCGGCAGACGGTACCGCCTCGCCACGGCATGCAGGCCACACGGATTTTCCAGATTGAACTGGAGACGCTTCACGTGTTTTCGCTGTGTTGACATTATGCTGGGTGAGCAGCCCTGTCACCATCCAGGCAAGGGTCCACAATACTGCCCCACAGAGGTGAAACACAGCAACTGCACTGACACTGAAACTGAGAAAAAAGGTTTTAAAGTGTTTTGACTGTCCACCTTTATGTGGAGCAGGTAGGTAAATGGCAGCATTTTTTTCAAAGGGGAGTATAATTGAACTAGGACATGAGATAAAACCTAAAAGAACCAAATTCGGTCATAACTCAATTAAATACGATAAAATATGCAGTTGCTGTGTCCCGCCTTTACGTGGCAGGAAGGTTGTTGTAATGTTGCTAAGTTACAGCAAAGCATGCTGGGAGGATTCTGGGAGACAGCTACGTGCCTCAGAAGCCAAAAGTTACCCTGGGGCGACCTCTAGCCTGAGCGGCCTTTCGCCCCCTTCAGGGCGTGGTGCGTCTAGCGCTCTAGGGCTACAATTTCCATTCCAGTCTCGGGTTGGGAGCGCAGACCCGAAAGGTACCGGCGATCGCAGTGCGGGGTCCCGCGGCACAAAAGGCGAGCCCAGTCTCAAAGGCCCTCGTTCAAGCGATCTGGTGTTATACTCCGCGATCCTGTTACGCCTCTTTATGGACACTTCTTCCCGGAGGGAGCGCCACGTTGTGAGAAGAACAAGAGTGAGACGGAAAAAGCCTTTCAGCGCTGACAAAGCGGCCCCTAAACAGCCCCTTCCGTCCATCGCAACGGAAAACAAAAGAAAGCGGAGAAGCAAGGCAGACACAAGCAAAATCCCTCCACAAGGAAATTTCTCCGGCATTCATCGCAGTTCAGCCTGGGGAATGCAGAGCTATCGCTCCCCTCCTATCTAAGAAAGACCAAAATCATGACGACGCCCCTAAATCTGTTTCCAGCGCACTTACACGCTGTTTTTGGTGAAAATAAGACAGTGTTTTATTGTCGAATGCTGCAGTTAACATGAGTTTGCTTAAAAGACACAAAAACACAGAAAACAGAGTTTCTCACTCAGCTTCAAAGGGATACCAGCTCGGCACTGATGAATGTAAAATTTAAATTATGTTTTGTTCATTCGGCGGATTTGAACCAGCGACCTTCTGATCACAGATACTGTGCCCGAACCCACTGAGCCCCATACTGCCCCCTATGGGGCAGTTGGAAGTTCAGTACAGCAAGGAGGAGGAGCAAAGAGAAGAGGCTACATTTCCAGATACACGACAATGTCTTTGTTTCACGTCCTTTACACCTTAGCCCAAAATAAGCTGTGTTTTTCCTCAGATCTTATCTCAAAGTCTTGTTCCAGATGCTTATCACTTAACCCTAAGCCGATAGGTTGGCCATGTTCAAAGAAAATGATCTGACTTCCATTTTGTATTCCAGGCTGCATGTCAAAGTAAATATGAGTCCGTAAAATATAGACACCCCCCCCTCCCCTCCCCCCCCGGATCCCTGGAGAAGTCACACTTTATTATCACATGATATAAAACTTTTCCTTTTCTTGACCTCAACTGGCATGTCTTGTGATAGGGAGACAAAGCGCTTATCGAGCTCTCCGCTTGTGCAATAGTACGATAAACAAGCGAGTAGCAGCTCAGCGTTTCTTCTAGCAAATACAGCATAAA